CTTCCTTCCTTCCTTCCTTCCTTCCTTCCTTTCTCCCTTCCTTTCTTTCCAAATTACTACCACTAACCCCACTCTGTCTCCACCCCTTTTCTCTCTTTCCCCCCTATCTACCTCTGTCTCTCTCTCTCTACCTCCTCTTCTCCATTCCTCCCTTCCACTCGCCCTTCCTTCCTATCTAGGGCCCGTCGTCTACCGCCACGACGGGCTTTCCTTACTAGTATATATATAATTCCCTTACGTATTGGCCATTTCCAGCTCTCCCATTGGCTGTGCAGTGTATTCCATCAGCCATTGGCCCATTAACCACCACTCAAGAGTACTTGTGTGCCATTGGCTGGGTGCTGGGTCCACTCCTCTCCCCTGCCCACTGCCATCTGGGACACTCTTGCCTCAGAGAATAAACTATCAAAACTGCTGTCTCTCCTGACGAAGACACTTCTCTTTCTTGGCTCCTGTCGGACTAACTTTTCCCTCGGTGGCTGTTGCTAGGCAACCAAGCTTGGTTCTGTCAGTAAAAAGGCAAAGAAAGAAGCCCTTTCCAGGCCTTTGTGGGGAACTTTTGGGGGCCAGTCCTGACTAGGGTTGCCAGTGCCAGGTTGGGAAATTCCTGGATATTCTGTGGTAGAGTCTAAGGAAGCCAGAGTTTGGGGAGGGGAGAGGCCTCAGCTGAATAGAATGACATAGATCCCACCCTCCAAAGCAGTTATTTTCTTCGAGGGGGGGGAAGAGATCAGTTGTCTGGAGTTCAGTTGTGATACCTGGTGATCTTCAAGCTCCACCTGGAGGTTGACTACTCTAGGTGTAGCAGTTAGCACATCAGAGCAGGGTCTTCCAGACCCAGGTTCTTCCTTTGGAAGCTGATTGGGTGATTTCAGACCACTCACAGACTTTCAATGTGACCTAACTCACAGGGTTGTTCTACAAATCAAAAGACGGGGAAGAATTATGTGAGCTGGAGAAAGACTAGGGTTGCCAGTGCCAGGTTTTCCTAGGTAGAGACTACAGGGAGGGGGGAAGAGATGGAAACTTGAAGTCATAGGAACAGATAATGGAATGTTGATGGTTGGCTGGGAAGGAAATAGAGTTGCCACCTCCAGGTTGGGAGTTTTCTGGAGATTTGAGGGGTGGAGCCTAGAGAGGGTAGGGTTTGAGGAGGAGTAGGACCTCAGACAGGTACAATGCCATAGACTTCACCCTCCAAACCAGTCATTTCCTCCTGGGGAACCATTGTTGCCAATCTCCAGGTCACAGAGATCAGTTCTCCTGAAGAAAATGGTAAGCTCTGTGTCATTATAGCCTGCTGAGGTCACCACAGCAAATTGGTGCTGAGTGCCCAAGGCCAGGACACCGACCTAGAGCCTCTTTCTAGAGCTTGTTGTATTTATTTCCACAATAGGCCTTATTCCTAGTATATAAATAAACATGGAGAGTTTCTTCATAAGAGGCTGAAATAAATTCATAAAGGAACCTGGAGGATCATCTAAAGCCCATTATCAAATAAATGACGGACTTTCTGGGTAACAAATTACTGAGGATTTTAATCCTGTGCTGCTACAAATTATGGGGTTTGAAATTTATTTTTGTACAGGTTTCATTAATTTTACAAGGCACTTTTGTCACTGGGAAATATTTTAAATAAATTTAGCTCTCCAGACAATCCTTTGCTATTGTTCACTGCATGTCTTTCTATCTTCTGCAAAGCAAGGGACACAGTGGCCCATGGAGCTAATTATTGGTAGGTGTGGCTCACATGATTACAGTGGCAAGCTTCAATAATGTCCTTAAGTAGAGTAATCCTGGTTAGCAAACAGCACAGTAAAGCCTTAGCTAATGCATCACAATTTTTGCCATTGGTAAAACCTGCAGAAGAACAGAGTGGGTTTCATTACCTCAAGATATCCCTAACTCAATTCAGCCTGTAACACAGAGGAAATTTTAGTTTATTGAGAATAATTTTTGACAATGGTGGAATCCTCTTTTAAGGACCCCAATGCCTTTCAGATAATGATGATGATGTTTTATAATGGAGAAGACTTAAGCTCCTTGGAGGAAAGCAGAATAAAAATTGATTGATTGAATTAATGAATATTTTACAATTATTTCTTCTCTCTCTCTTTTTCATACCACAGTCCTATCTGGGCTATCTTACAGTCGTTTTGTGCACTGCCCATACGCTGATCTATGGTGGATCGAGGTTTTTGTATGCTACGTCATATCCATGGGGACTTCCTCCTGCTTACATCTTCTCTCTCATTATCCCTTGCATTGTGTTGGTAATAAAGTTTGTTCTGATATTTCCATGCATAGACAGGCCACTTACCGCAATTCGACAGGGTTGGGAGAGGAAACCCAAAGACCTGTCTGAGCCACAGAACCTTAGCGGGTCCTCTGTATAAATTCTTAGCCAATGTACTGTGACTTGTATAGAAGTGTGAATAGCTGAAAATGGCCAAGGAGTGAGCAAATGAGACACACTTAAAATGGCTCAAAATTTTGAACATCATAATTACTCTGTAACCTAAAGACAACCGTTCTTGGCATCAGTTAAATGATCATCTACTTTCCGTTCTGCCATGGAGAACGTATGTTTCTTCCCACATTTGGGATTGAAGGAAGCAATTATAACTGTTTCTTACCTTTCAGCTCACATAGAAACCCACCTTGCACTATTTTGTAGTTTTTATTTTTAATTTTTTTTTTAAAAAAATTATTTTCATTCTGTTTTTAATCCAATTCCTTTTGCATAATTACATATTTCTTTCTTTCCCACCCCCTATCCCCCCTTACTGTTATGGCTGGTACTTGTGCTGTCTCCCTGATGTAGCTAGGCAAGTACTAATGGATCTATTTCCTAGTCCTCCTCTTGCACCCCTTTCTGATGCATCCAAGGGACTGTAGCTTGGCCATTCTGGGAATGTAGTTCTACAGTGCCTGATGTTATTAGCCAGGCATCCAGCATTTCAGATATGCCAAAAAGAGCCTTCAAAGTGTCAGGGGAATGAGATACTCTGCCCATAGCTGTCTCCTGCTTGGCCTGGCCAGTAGCAGTGATAAACATGACAGCAGCTCCAGAAGCATACAATAAAAGGGATGGGGGATAGATAAACATTTTCCTGCCAGTTGTAGTTATCTCTTCCCCCACTCCTGACTACTGTGAATTCTTAAACCAGACTGCCAGTTGCCAGAGTAATGAAGAGATCCTTATATTACCAAATGTAATTAATTTTATTATCAGTATAATGTGTATATAATGACTTAGTTATTTGATTTATTACTGTGTAAACTCGTGTCCATGTGTTAAAGCTGAGAATCATATTTTTAAAACTAAGCATGACAGCTATGAATGCATATGAGCCAAAAGGCCATAAGAATAATAATTTTGAATTATGACTTGACTTCCTGTTCTGCGCCTTTTCAGATGCACATTCTAGTCTTAATGTTAAAAGCACTTCAACCATTGCACAACTGGCAATGGCTTCTCAAAATATTTGTATAAACATGTTATGTGAAATATCTATGCTTGCATATGTAGAAAAGCCCTTTTTAATAAAGGAATTTTGTCCCATTTCAAGCTGGCTATGGCTTTGTGGTGGGGTTTTTTTTTGGGGGGGAGGGGTGTAGTCTTACACAGTGGACTTCTTTTTCCTGTAAATGGATAGCCAGTGGAATATAATTTTCATGACTATTGCAAGCTTCAGCTGTGGATGGAAATAGAACTTTTAACTACACATTTGCAGCAATGAATGGGAAAGAGGTAATAAATCCATCAGAGAATCTTCTGTGTATACTTGCTGTAAAATTCCTGGAGCTAGAGGAGAAATCTAAGCAAAAAGGTATTTTTTTTAAAGCCCCCGGAGGGGATTTTTTTATTTTTTTATAATACTACACAAACTACAAAGAAAAAAGAAGAAGGGGGAACTACAACTAGGGAGAAAGGAAAGTAACCCACACTATACTAAAAGCCCAAGAGAAGGAGATCATTACCCTGTTAAACTACAGTTAGTAATAAAAAAGCTGTTAATAAACAATATACTTTTTGAGATCCTTTCTTACTAAGCTTATGGGTTAGTTTACTTGTTATGAGAAGATTTCCAGAGCTTCTCCTCCAGCTCGCTTCATAAAGGCAATTTTCAGAGTCCTTCCGCCTTTACATCTATGCTAATTCTCTCTAAAATCTTGATGGGTTCTTAGACGTTCACTTGAAATTCTGCAACCCAGTCTTCCTCCGTCTCCAAAGGGATAAAACCGCCAATCTTGAGCCTCTTCCTCTTTGGTCTCATCTTCGAGGCCCAGTGGCATCTCAAAGGCTTCTCGATCTTGAGGGCAGATTCAAACTCTTTTCTATCAGCCAAATTTAAGATGACACTTTCTAAAAACACCTGCAAGGAAGGAGTTAAGTCCTTGTAAATCTTTTCTGTTTCTCTCACGCTTTTCCTCCTTGTCTCTTTGAGATCACTGTTAGTTTTAGTGTCCATCTCTTTTGCTTTGACAGCCCTCTGTTCCATTTTTTCTGCTATTGTTGCCAACTGCAGCTGCCGGGACATGAGTTGTTGATTTATCTTGGCAAGCTGATGGTTAATACCAACAAGTTGCTCCAGAATTGGCTTGGTGGCTTCTGCTATGAGTTCTATAATGTTTACTTCCCTTCTTCTCGGAGTTGTTTTCGCTGACTTTTTTGGAGTGTCTGCCATTTTAATACTTTATTTTCAATATAAAATCACTTTCTCCCCGGCTCTGAAAATCGCCTATACGCTGTTTAATCGCTTAAATGCTCATGGATATCTCCCACAACAGGCTTATATGCTTCCAAAGTCCTTCCAAAGTATCTGTTTACAGTCGCCTCTCTCTCTCCCCTCCCCCTACTCCATTTGTGTAAATGCGTCAAATCCCTCTCTCAGCACGATTCCAATCGCTCTAGAGGTTTTTTGGGGGGGGATTTTTGCTTCAATGTATCTGTTTACAATTGTCTCTTTCTCTCTTTCTCTCCCCCCTCCTCTGTTTATGTAAATGCGTCAGAGAGGCGTCCCTCTCTCACGACGATTCCAATCGCTCAAAAGGTTTTGGAGGTGGAGGGATTTACACTTCTATTTACGGTTTGCTCATTTTAACTCACAGTTCATTGTTGGTCTTTATCTTGACCACGCTCGTAATCGCTCCTTCACCAGATCTCCTGCGCTTGACTGGGTCGGCACATCTTGTGCCTCGCTGAGAGAATGCAGACAGTGGGGGGGACCATCAGGGTGGAGGGCAGCCTCAATTTCCCTGCAGATAGCAGGAAAAAAGGCTCACTCTCAAAAGCCCTATGGCCTGGGGGGGTCTCCCTGACCCCCCGTGGAGGTGCCGATTCTGCAGCACCCCTCCCCTCTGCTGCTGTGCAGTACGCCTTCCCGGAGCAATGGGAAAGGCGTCTGCCATTGTTGTGCCGTAGACCCACAGCAAAAAGGTATTTTGTGGTACATTACAAGCCCATTGACTTCAATTGACTTAGAAAGATGTAACTCTGTTTAGGATTGTGTTGTGATCAGCTTAGAATCATAGAATCATGGAGTTGGAAGGGGCCATACAGGCTATCTAGTCCAACCTCCTGTTCAATGCAGGATCAGCCTAGAGCTTTCCTGACAAGTGTTTGCCCAGCCACTGCTTAAAGACTGCCAGTGAGGGGGGCTCACCACCTCCCTAGGCAGCTGATTTCACTGTTGCACAACTCTGACTGTAATTTTTCTAATATCCAGCCAGTACCTTCCCACTTTTAATTTAAACCCATTATTGTAAGTCCTATCCTCTGTTACCAATGGGAACAGCTCCCTGCCATCCTCTAAGTGAAAGCCCTTCAAATACTTAAAGAGAGTAATCCTGTCCCCCTTCAACCTTTTCTTCTCATGACTAATCATTTCCAAGCCTCTCAGCGTTTCCTCATAGGGCTTGGTCTCCATACTTATTGCAGCATGAGCCCTTGTATAGGCTGGAGACAACTTCAGTGGAGAAAAGCCGGTAAATGAAGTTCTGATTAAGGTATCCAGAGTGGCACAGCCATTAGAGTGTCAGACTAGGATTTGGGACAACCAGGTTTGTATCCCTGCTCTGCCACAGAAATTTACTGGGTGACTCTGGACCCATCACATTCTCTCAAAGTAACCTGCTTTATGGGACTGTTGTTGTGAGAACAGAGTGGAGGAGAGGAGATCAACGTGATAAAGCAGCTTTGGGTCCTGATTAGGAAGAAACATGGGATATAAATGTTAAAAATATGTACCTTCTCAAGCTAAATCAATAACATGCACATAGTTCTGCTCACTGGTATACACAATGTTTTATTACTGTATGTTACCATATTGGATTTCCCCCCCATAAAATGTATGCCACTTGCACACTATGTCACTATGCATGAACACTGTTAATTTAAAATGTATACTATGTATCTTTTTAACATAAATTCATTTTAACAACCAACTTTTTGTCTTTGTTGCTCATATGACGGTAGTAACACCATCACATTTCTTGGTTCTTGTTCCTCATTGCCAATGAAGAAGTGATGAACTATGAATGCATTTTTTTGCCTCTGTCTTCACTGTGGAAGATGAGAAGTGCTTGCCCACTCCAGAACCGCTGACTTCGGGAGGAGTGTTGAATGACCTGAGTCAGATTGAGTTGACGAGAGAGGAGGTCCTACGACTGATAGACAACTTAAAAACTGATAAAACACCAGGCCCGGATGCCATACATCTGAGAGTTCTGAAAGAACTCAAATGTGAACTTGTGGATCTCCTGACAAAAATATGTAATCTTTCATTATAATCTGCCTCTATTCCTGAGGACTGGAAGGTAGCTAATGTCACTCCCATCTTTAAAAAGGGTTCCAGAGGAGATCCGGGAAATTACAGGTCAGTCAGTCTGACGTCGATACTGGGTAAATTGGTGGAAACTGTTATTAAGGAGAGAATTAGTAAGCACATTGATGAACAAAAACTATTGAGGTAGACTCAGCATGTGTTCTGTAAGGGAAGATCTTGTCTCACTAACCTGTTAGTGTTCTTTAAGAGGGTGAACAAACATGTGGACAAGGGGGGCTCAATAGATGTTATTTACCTTGACTTCCAGAAAGCTTTTGATAAAGTTACTCATCAAAGGCTCCTAAGTAAGCTCAATAGTCACAGGATAAAAGAACAAGTCCTTTTGTGAATCAAAAACTGACTAATTAATAGGAAACCAAGAGTGAGTATAAATGGACAATTTTCTCAGTGGAGGGTGGTAAGCAGTGGGATACCGCATGGATCAGTACTTGGTCCGATGCTTTTTAACTTGTTCATCAATGATTTGTAGTTGGGAGTAAGCAGTGAAGTGGCTAAATTTGCGGATGATACGAAGTTGTTCAGGGTGGTGAAAACCAGTGAAGATTGTGAGCCACTCCAAAGGGATCTGTTGAGGATGGGCGAGTGGGCGTCAACGTGGCAAATGGGGTTCATTGTGGCCAAGTGCAAGGTGATGCACATTGGAGCAAAAAATCCTAATATTATAGCTTTGGAAAAGGTGCAGAAAAGGGCAACTCAAATGATAAAAGGGTTGGAACACTTTCCCTATGAGGAAAGGTTAAGGCACTTAGGGCTCTTTAGCTTAGAGAAATGTCCCCTGGTGGAGGTGTGAAAAAAATAATCAAGTTTTGGAAAAAGGTCAGAGAACTGATAAAAGAGATTACAGATATAGATCTCCAACTTATCCCAGAAAGTTATCTGCTTAACATGATTCCGGATAGAATAAATAGAGAAGACTTATGTATCATTCTATATATTCTCGCAGTAAGCAGAATCCTCATAGCTAAAAAGTGGAAATCGGATCTAATACCAAGAACCGATTTCCACTTTTTAGCTATGAGGATTCTGCTTACTAATCTAATACCAAGAAGAGATGAATTAATGGAAAAAATCCTAGAAATAGCGGAAATGGACAGATTAAACTTGATATTAGCAGGGAGAGATGATAATGTTTTTAAGAAAAGGTGGTTTAAAGTAAATCTATGGATGGAAAAAAATGTATAATGTACACTCCAAAAATGTTATGTATAAAGAGAATTTACATCTTTTTTTTGTAATGGAAAATAGATAAATAAACTTTACCAAAAGAATCATCAAAAAAGAACAAGGAATGCTGAAAAAGAAAGCATTCCTTATCCACGGGCCTGAGAGACCAGGAAAGGGTTAACCAGCACAAAAAATAAGACAAAGTTGTCCTTTATCACAGGATTTTTTAATGGTTGCCTCACTCTAAAGACATGATCTTTTAATGGCCAAGGCCAAGACCTTTTCCATAGAATAGTCTCCCAGAGAGGTCAGGCAGAAACCTACCCTTGTGGTATTTCAACAAAGCCGTAAGAGTAAACTGTTTAAAGTAGTTTATGGAGATCTTAAAAGGACTCTTCCTTGCTGACAGAGTTTAAATATGTGGAGGAATGGAACACCAACTATTTAAAGGAGAATAACTCAATGTATTAAAGAAGAAGCAAACTCTGAACAGAGGAGAGGGAGAGAGGCTTAACTAACTAACTGCTTTGAGAGACAGAAAGGGA